CTCCCTTTGGGAAGAGTCTTGCTATTGCATAAGCTGTGCGTTGGTGAAATAAGGGGTCATGATTACATCAAGATTAGAGAATAGACCTCCAAAAGCAAACATCAGTCTTTGGCATTATGCTGATACTCTTCTGCTTCATGATTATCCAAAAAACCCACCCTCAGTGTATACGCTTTAGACATTTACGGTGAAAATACCACCGAATGAAGCTGCTTAGAGCTGAACACCGTAGCTCTGGCAGAACGAGCTCCTGTCACAGGTACTGACACATTACTATGTAGACATGGCCAAGTTTACAAGCTAATTAACTGGAGTGGAAGATGAGTCCATCTCACAGACATTTCCAAAGACTATCCTAATCTTCCCCACCTCAGAGTATCGCTTAAAAATGCTTCAGGCCTAGCCAAACACAAATCTATAGGCATTAAATACTTCTAATATCCTTACAATGAGTTCTGTAAGATGGTACGCTAGAAAAAAACTAGAGTTCAATTTTTGTATTTACTGTCAGCATACCTACAGACAGTTTCACACACATTTGGTTGACAGGATGCAGAATTCTGTTTCTCACAAAATGAATCATTATCCAGTTCACCTCACCTGCCCTACCTTCCCTTTGTTAAAGTAAAGACAAGCCCTATCACTGTCACCATACATGCATAGATCAATGTCGACTGAGAGGCGATCCCATCAAGTATCTGAAGGGGGGAGTGTCAAGAGGATGAGGCCAGTCTCTTCTCCGTGGTGCCCAGTGACAGCACAAGAGGCAATGGGCACAAACTGAACCACAGGAAGTTCCATCTGAACCTGAGAAAAAACTTCTTCACTGTGAGGGTGACAGAGCATTGGCACAGGTTGCCCAGAGCGGTGGTGGAGTCTCCTTCCCTGGAGATATTCACAACCCGCCTGGACGCGATCCTGGGCAATCTGCTCTAGAGGACCCTGCTTGAGCAGGGAGGTTGGACTAGATGATCTCCAGAGGTGCCTTCCAACCTCAACCATTCTGTGATTCTGTGAATGTCGCCCTACCCTAAGCTCTTTAATGTTCTCCGCCCCCGACCTCCACGCCCTCAAATCACCTACCACTAATGAAAACTTGAACTTCCTCTTTCAGGCTTGCAAAGTTTCTTCAAATACACAAACATGCCCGAAAACTGAAGAAATGAACATTGTTGTTCTAACCAAATTTTCCAGTTCAACTTCCTCTACTTGAGCAAAACACCTGAGAAGATACTAACCACTCACCTCTAAGAAAATGTAACATCGTACTTTGGTTTCAGAGTAGATTGCACCAGAAAGACAGCAATACTGACTTTAATCAACATTCTTATTGCAAGGGTCATAGGTAAAATATGACGATGAAGATCCTACTTCATCTCTTGACACAAACACAGATGAGAGTATTGCTAATACCAGCATCAACCAAAAATATAACCCAGCATCTCCTGTCTGTTTTTCTCCAACTAATCTTTACCTCTTGAGGGTTGCAATGGCCCTCTCATTTGAAGAATTCTCACATAAGATGCGAGTGATCCATTCATGTCACCTCCCGCTTAGTTTACATCAATTTACTTGAACAGGAAGAGAGTGAAGAGGCTCTCCCTAGCAAATGATAAAGCACCTGCTTTCCCAATGCAAACCATCACAGGCAAAACTGCTCTGCTCTTCCTCTGGCCCTTGGTCCATTTCAAATATTACTTTATGGTCTTCACCTAAATTTTTAACATTTTAGTTCGTCAAGCTTCATCCACATTAAAAACTGAAATTCAGCCTATCAGTCAGCCAGACAGTTGTGCAGTGTTTCTAAGATTATGATTAGTAAGAGTTCTAAGTTGGAGTTTATAACTCTACTAAGCCTAAATATAACAAAAATAACACGCAAACAGATAAACAAAGAACATTGCTTTTAACAGCAAGCGACACCACCAACTAGTTCAGCCTGTAAAAAGCGTGGGAACGCTCAAGACAAGGCATTCTTGGTTGAAATGATTTGGTTTCTTTTCCATAGGAGATCAGGCAATTTCAGTGCTCCATCGCCTTTTGGAACTGAAGTGCAGAGGAAGCTGACCAGCGCGGACAGTGTGCCACTGAAAGGCAGGAGAACACGACCGCAATCTCCGCATCCCCAACGCAGCTTCCAAGCAAACAGAGCGCTCTGCGCTGTGTAGAGTCCAATAGAGACATCAGCATCCTCTTTTTTAGGAAACTCTAAAGACAAGTAAAGCCTGTTTTGACCCTGCGCCCAAATATCACTCAGAAAAGTAAGAAGTCTGACTCAACCTCACACCATAAAGGAAAACATGGAAGAACCTGTTTTGTCCAATCAAAGTATTGCAATCCCTCATGCTGAAACATCCAGGAACACAGGAAAGTCTATTCTTCTCAATTGTTTTCTCTCCTTCGAACAACAGATGTTGTTCGAAGAGAGAAATAGCTTAGTAACTTAAACCCAGCAATAATGCAGAACACACTAGAAAATGAATAAAGAAAAAAAAACCTCCCAATGTGATCACAAGGTAAAAAAGAAATAAAAAATGTAACTATTTAAAGCAGAGTTCCCTATACTTGCAAAAAAACTTGAAAGGACAGAAGGAAGCAGGGAACTGCAAGACTTTGCAATTTCAGTTCTGCAAAGGACTTACTGAGGAATGTTATTTACTAAAGCACAGGAATGCATTTACCAATGAAGTATATGAAGATGTCAGTTGGGGGGGGGGAAGAAGAAAAAAAGATTTTCTCTAGGTTTCTCAGAAATATAACTTGCTTCCTGAACTACTGCATAGCTAACCCTACACTTCCTCACTGACACAACCAAGACTTGCGCATTTTTCAGATTTGCATACACTTGGCAAAGTATGTGCTCTTTGAAACCTTTGCCTTTCAAAAATCGGTGTGGGGGCTTTTCCACTTTGTGGAATACAGCGCTTACAGCTATACTAGCGACTTAAACAGTGCCACATAATGCCCACGAGCTCCTGAACGTGATCCTCCAATGACTGCTAGCACAGTGCTGTTCCGTGCCAACTAATACTCTCCCGCGCAGTTCCTGGGCATTGCTCAGGGCCAGCACGGGCAACAGACCTTTCCCAATGGGCAGCAGGCATATCACCACCTTGTTTTGGAGGGCGAGTTTTAACAGCGTAGATGCAAACTATTCCATGCCAGCAAGCCTCAATGGAAGGGAACGGTCTAAAGCAAGTTTAATGTGTTAGCATAGTAATAAAATTATGTTTATTTGTTATTATTCATATGATACTCCATTACCATGCAACTAAAAGGGCAGCATTTTTCCTGCATTTAATTAAAACCAAAATATAAAATTTATCATTATGAAACTGATTGACTTATCGGCATATTTCATTGGAAACACAAGTTGGAGTAAAAAAAGGACTTGGAAACAACTTAGAATTTCTGAGTTTTGTACCTTTTCTGAACAGAACTGTCTGTAATCTGATATTTCAGAGAATATTGTCACCTACAATAACAATAATCTCTGGAATAAAAGCAAGCAGAAACATAAGAAATGAAAACAATGTAAAATATGTCCTCAGTCATGCTATGGCACACGAAACCTTCAAGATTTCTTTCGCTAAATACATAAAATACTGCGTTATGAGACAACCGGTGCTTGTCCAAAACCATTGTCATGTTGATGCACTGCAACAGCGCAGTTCGGCGGTAACAACCTACAGCTCATTATAAGCAGGATCCCAAACGGAAGGACAGTTTCTTTGCTTTGCAGATGGCTGCAGCCTGAAGTTTAACCCCTAGAACAGCTGACCTCGGCAAGCTTACCAATAGCATTTTCACCTTCTCTTACCGTTACTACCTGTCCTCCTCTTGCAACAGTACACTGGTTTTCAATTACTTGTTTTTTCCACTTTTCCTCAAAGGCACTTGGGCATCTGGTGGAGACTACACGAGTGCACCATGAGAAATCCATTGCTATGAAATTATCTAGCGTTAATCATTTTTAAAGATAGTTGACATTTTTTCAAGCAATACTGGCAGTGAGTCCATAGTGCTTCAGAGTCAATTTATAGAGGTGACAAAGAGGACTTTCGCCAGACTCCACATAAAAGAAACTAGTATCAGCCTGCTCAGAACACGTCCAAAATAGTTGTAGGAATGCAGTGCGCTGTGGCTGCATTTGCTCCTATTAGATTTGCAATATCAACATCAAATAGTCAGTCTAAGGCATGCATATGTAAGCAGCTTAATATAAGATCACAATCACTGTTCATACTAAAGATAATTACATCTTTACTAATTCTGGATATGTGACCTGAATGTAAAGTTCTTTTATACAGTACATCATGAATCCTACCATTTTTCCATTACTTTTGTCTTTGTTTTTCACCTTGGGCATCTTGCACATTTTTTTGCATAGCCACATATGCTTTTGTGCAGCCTATTGATCCACATTGCCAAAAGTATGAGGGGTGCAGTAAACATACTTGTCCATGCTTCAATTACAGAGAAAAACCTCCATTAGGAGCAAGAGCTACTATGTGATGAAAATGAAGATTAATCAATGGAACAGGCAGGTCTAAAGCTCATGGTCTTCTCCTTCTCTTTGTATTAACCCAAATAACGTTTTCGGGAGAAAAAAAGAATAGTTACGTTAATGCAGTCTTAGATGCAAGCATTTTAAGTGTAACTGGAAAAAGAATAAAGGAT